ATAATAGTACCTTAGCAATATTAACAATTTACTAAAGATCTCCTAAACTGACAAAATCTCTCAATCCGAATTTCTTTCTTCTAGATGACATGATTGTTATTGTACTCTATATAAGAGTCCAACATCCACCCAACTACCAATTAGCAATTATGCTCATATTTGACATAAAATTTTAACAAAAGCAATGGTTGGAGTGAAGTTCAATGATATGCTTATAAAGGTCGAGAATTGGTATCAAAATACTCAGTTAAAAAAATTGGAGAGGGCCTCAAAATCGAGGCCATGTAAAAATAGCTATAACAATAAGTCATAAATTAACCCTAAACTGTAGTAAATCATAAAAAACGCTTCATATCGGGAACCTCCTTGGGGTTGGCTGCAGAAAACTAACATTAAAACCATTTGTGTGCAAGAGCAAGAAGAATACCCATATCTAATTTTTGTGTAAAAGAGTGAGATATAGGCGGTGGTGCGGTGCTGAAACTCAAAATCCAAAAAGAAAAACCACATGAGAAGACACTATGATGAGCCATGGTAAAATATTTGAAATTATAAAAAATGGAGAAAAAAACTTTACCACCTGCAGAATAAAAATGTTGAAGGATGAGTTCTATTGAAATCATTGCAGTTCCTAAGAGAAATATGCAAGGCATAAACCACTCCCTTAAGATAGGGTTCTTGATACAGGGTATCTCTGCACATAAAAAGGTCAAACACCGAAGAAACTAAAAGTCTAGGAATAGAAATGGAAGGGAAGAAAGGACTACAGAACCAAGGCAACCAATTTTTATCCATTTGCAGCAAATCATCGCCATTAACTCAAAAAGTCGATTCTTTTCTCGTAATGCTTAATTTCCCAAAACAACCTGAATCAAGCATCAAAAATCAATAAATCTCAAAGTTTCTCTGCGATTTGAAGATTCAAATAATCAGAGATTTGAAGATTAAAAAAAAAGAACCATATCCAATTCAAAACCAATTATTTTTAACTAAAATAGTTGTTTTAAAGATTCAAATAATCAGGATTAGGTTTAGATACAACAAAAGACAGCAATATCACATATTGTTGCAATCATACCAAGAAATGAGAATCGATTAAGGCCTTGCTTAAAAATAAAATTGATGGTGGTGGTGGCTGTTCAGTAGCAGTGCAGATGGTGGGGGCGGTCGATCCATTGGTGGTGTATGTGTGTGTAGACAGAGCGAGAGGGTAAGTAGCGGAGTAGCACATGCATCCATCCTTTCCATCTTGCATCGTATATGGAATCGAGGGAGGAGATATCGAACCCAGAAGGTCGGAGAGTTGGTAGCTTGCTCGTGAAAAGCACAGATTCAGAAAAGGCAAATAGAGTGAAAGAGAAAGCAGTGTCACTTACCAATGGAAGTCAAAGCATTAGAAAATGGGTGGTATATGTTTAATGGAAAAAAACGATGTGAATCTCGAGTGGTGGGGCTAGAAATCGATTAGGGTCTTTGTGTAGATTTCAAATTATGAAATTGAGAAAGGAGCCTCTTCAATTTATGGTGTTGAAGTCTTTGATAACAATTGTAATTTGAAAGTGCTACAAATTTGGGAAGATAACGAAAGACCAGGTCAAGATAAGAAAATGTCATAAGAGGTTGTTGTACATGATATGGAATGGACCTGGTCTAGATCGAGATTTAAGGTTTAAAAGTATATGTTGACCGGAATAAATTTATAATGCATAAAAGGTTTGTACATATTGCTTTATGGTTTGGACGACTTAAATTTCAGCGTTTGACCAAATATGCTTTATAAGGTATAATAGATAACTAGTCGTTACCCGCGCAAAGCGGCGGCGTCGAATAGTTTCCGAGCGATGATTAATTCATTTCGGTGAATTGTTTACTTTCAAGTTAAAAATAAAAGTACGTTACGATTTTGGGTTAGGGATAAAACGTTGTTTCGGTTAAATTGAAAAGTATGTTGTGGTTTTGGGTTAAAATTAGTAGCATGTTTTTATTTGGGGTACCTGAACGGTGCTGCATGTGTTTAATACGGGGGCGACGATTTGTTCCTTCCGAATAGTTTTTGGGCATTAATGATATTAGGTTATTGTTTTGGGCATTAATGATAACAAGTTATTGTTTGGGGCAACGTTTCGAAATGTTTTCCACTTTTAAACTTTCTTCAGCAACTAAGGTTCAATACTTGTTCCACCAAGTCTATTACTTATCTATGAACAATGTCATGTAAAGTCGGCCACATGAAAAAAAATACAAATTTGGTTATTTATTAATTAAAAAATAATAATGAAACTTTATTTTTTTTCATACATAAATATGAAGAAAAATATTATTATTTATGCATCATAATAATTCTAAATATCTTTAAATTGTTTTGTTATAAGATTATCAACCAAAAAATGATACCGAAAGCATATAAAAGGAATAAAAACAGATTTAAAACAATTTTGAATTGTTTAGTAGTTACAATCATGTAGATTTACCTGAAAATAGAGATTCAAACACTTTTGAATAAAAGACAATTTTTAAAACATTTTAATTTTTAGAACGGCAATTTATATATTAAAAAAAAAACATAGGAATAATACGAATGTAAACAATGAACTAAAAAAATCTTGATTCGCTAATATAAAAATAAAATCGAAAAAACAATCTTTATTTTTATCAAAATTAACAGGTGGTGTTGGTATGTTGGACGTGCAAGAAACATAATTAATGGGTCCTTAAGGTAGATGAACTCCACCCCTTCGATTTCATTCTTTTTTTAGTTTAATTCTCCTGAAGGGCGGCCCAATTGAATTCCCTAATGACTTACATAATAAGAGTTGTATAGTATCCTACTTTCACACATCACATGACAAACACAACACTCACACAATATACACATACTTAACTGTTAATTTTGTTATAAATGATATGTTTCCCTTCATTTGAACTTCATCATATGATCATGTCACTAAATCTCATAAAAGAAAAGATAAATGTTTTTGTTTCAAAATATTAAACAGTGAGCAATAGAATAAATGAAAGTGCATTACTATATTTTGCATTCAGCCCAAACAGGGGCTAAATGCAAGAAATGATATCAAAAGCGTGAATAGCCCTAAACCTCCTTCAATATGAATTATTAAACAGTTTAAGGGTTCTTTATTTTTAATTATCCATTACAGAACCTGACGAAATGAATATATTTTAATTTGGAAATAAAATAGTCTTAAACTATTTTGTTTTGCTAATTAATCACTTCCATTAAAGTCTCCAAAACGCTCAACTTAACTTTGTATCTCTAATCGTAAGTATTCATAACACTATCTAAGACACATCGAAGTAATACGATTGACCTTCGTTTGATTTGTTTGATCTTATTCATACATATATAGTGTATACTTTATTTTTTTCAGTATGTTATTTTAGATAAATCTATTAGTTGGGTTTGATGAAAGATATTTAATTCAATTGAAATGTATTTATCTAAGTCTTACATAAAAAATGTTATGTAGCATATTAATGCTCATAAATATTATGCAAATTCTGTTCTTGCAAATTAGCAAGACAAAAAATCGATGAATTTTGTTATTATGGTTTTATGTATATTTAAATAATCACTGAGTACAAGATTTTAACAAAAAGAATGTAAACTTTAAATGGAACTTTCAAAAAATTATTAGACAAACGTCTTACTAAATTTTACAATATTTTCACTATAATTTCTATAAGTAACTTTCAAATTTTTGAAAAAGCTATTCTTATCTCTAACAAAAATTTAATCGTGACAAATTGAACAAAGACAAATGTTCGATTCATAAATTATTTTAGAAAACTTTTGAATTTATAAAATAATTACACTTTGGATGACTTTTGAATACATAGAAATTATTTAAATTATGTTAAATATTTAATGGTAATGAATAATATTGACTTTAATCTTGACAAATGAGATAATTCCTCTGTTAGTTTCTTATTCACAAAACATTTTTTAATACTTGTGAAATTATATTAACTACAATTTTAATGCATTTTTTCACAAATTTTTAAAAACTACTATTAAGTAAGAAAAATAAGTTATACATCATGGTAATCACAACGAAAATTTAAATTATATACTATAAAGCTTAACAATAAACACATTTATTACAATCACAATTAAAAACATTCAAAATTTTCAAAGTTAATAGAACAAAGAAGGAAATGTCTTCCAATGTGAACTCGTTCAACAAAACTGATAACCATGTCATTGACCTCCAAATTTTAACTGCGTAATTTAAACATTGAATTTAATACATGTACTTATATTTTATGGACGCATTTCATGGAGGTAAATGGAAACTTCACTGAATTAACCAAAAAAAAAAAGAATAAGAATTTTACATATTAAATTTCCAAATGTATTATTAATTAAGCTTCAATAGTTGATGCAAAGTTGCAATTAAGTTAATAGGTTTATTGTTCATACTCCTGGTACTTGGATCTTTTTGCATCTCCTTTATCACCCAACACCAATGGAAAACTCAAACCAAGTATAACTCTTATAGTTGTAAATGACATCCTAGGGCATAATGATCATTACTCCAGATAAAGAAGAGAACGCAAATAACAAACATGTTGTCAGCCTGTAACCACTCACCTAGTTTCCCCTGTACTTTTTATTGTTACTAAGGCCATCTCCAACCATGAAACACTAAAAAACACTAAAGTGGTGACTTTTCAACACAAAAATAGAGTTTTCATTCCAACCATACATTAAAACTTTACACTAAAAACTTATTTTAATAATATTATATTAGAAAGCAATTTCATTATTATTATATAATTCAATTTAACTTATTGATTATAATATCTAAATTATCAATAATAATAATAATAATATAATAATAACAACAACAAGAATGTTAAATAATTAACTAATTGAAAAAAACATTATATGAAAGATTAATTTAAATTTAAATCAACAATATTACATTACTCAAAAAACATTACATTTAATTCAACTTCGAACATAACCCAATTTTAAACTAATTTTTCGAGTTAGTATACTCATCCCATAAATGTTCAATCAACGCATTTCGAAGTTCATAGTGAGCGTATTTATCTTTGATCTTTTTATGTCGAGCAAGAAATTCTTGAAAGCGAATATCATCATCAACCACCATTTCAACTTCTACATTTGGCATTTCACCTCGCTCTTCGATTGTTGCATTAACATCGCGTTCGTCTTCAATGATCATGTTGTGCATAATGATACATGAAGTCATTATATCATGTAATATTTCTTTTCTCCATAAACGTGCAGGTCGTGCAACAATTGCAAAACGTGATTGCAATACTCCAAATGCACGTTCTACATCTTTTCTGCATGCTTCTTGCTTCATTGCAAACAATTTTTTCTTTGGGCCACGTGGATCATGTATAGTTTGAACAAGAGTAGCCCATTTTGGATATATTCCATCAGCTAAATAATAACCCATATTATACTCTTTACCATTGATGGTATAATTAGTAGGAGGAGCAATACCTTCAGCAAGATTAGCAAAAAGATGTGATGACTCCAGCATCTCAACATCAACCATATTATACTCATATCCGATCCCGAGTTTCTTGAGTATATTCAAAATGAAAAGAAACGAATAATAAGAAAAAGAACAGAAGAATCTCAGGGACAGGGACAGGGACAAGGATCTCATTATCAAGGATCTCAATATCAACCACTTTAACATCCAAAATCTCAACATCAACCATCTGAGTACCAAGGATCCCAAGAACAAGAAGAAGAAGTTCAAGAACAAGAACAAGAACGGCCCCAAAATTATAGTCAATACTTTCAGTATCTTGGCTGAGCGGAAAATGATTTGAACAATTTCTAGATTTGTATCTTAGTTTATGTTTTTTTGTTAATTATCTATGTTATATTTATGAAGTTTCGATTTTTAATATGTGTTTAAATTTATTACAACAAGATTGAATTATCTTTAGACTTTTTAATTAAACAATACCTTAATACTTATAAAATATACTGCAATACTTTAATTATAAAATTTGTATAAATTATTTTGATAGTTTAAGATGGTTCATTTTTATAATACAATATATGTGATAATATATGTATATATGTGATAATCTGAAACAAGTCCAATGAATATAATATTGATATATATTGAAAAAGCAATTTGGTGTTATATGAAATGGCCTCTATATTTACAGGCCAAAATTTGAAGACACAAAAATACCGGCCCTTTTAGCGATCGATTGGAGGAATAAATGCCGACATTCCACTATTTTAGTGGCCCATTGGAGTAGCTCTAATAATACCAATAAAGCTACTAATACTACAAATAAAGTAAATAAAACAAAACCCACAAAACATGGCATGCACTAATTCGTGTGTCCACTCGTCTAGATTCACTGATAATATCTATGCCAACAAGCACCTGAAAGAACAACCATTGGTTGCTATCGTTCCAAAAATCCAAAGCATATCTTAAATCAAAAAGCGAGCCATGAATATTGTGTATAATCTGGTGTTCTACATGTCCTGGGTCTTTCCTTTTCTCCAAATCACAGAGAAAGACCGGAGAAGATTTAGTGCTGGAGATGGTAAGGTTTCTTGAAATTTTTCTTCACCAAAACCTGAAAAAATATCTAAAATCAAAATCAAAATCAAAACCTAAAAAAAACACCACATCAGCTGAAAACAACTAAACATCCTCTCCTAAAATCAAATCTAAAAACCTACTTAAATATTCACAAAATATGTGTACCTTAAATTACACATCACCCGTCAAATTCATATAGCCTCCATTGAACTTTCAGCTACACAGTTTCTTTAGCCTCTGATCATTATTGCCATTGTACACGACATCTGAAAAATCTCAAAGACAAATCATCATTCTTTCAATAATATTTTCATTTAAAAAAATGAGAAAGATACTTCATCCAAAAGATTAACATAACAACATGTCAAGTGCTACATGACCTGGTATAGCAGCTCCTTCCCTGCCATTCAATACATGTTAAAGCATATGACAGAACTTCATTAGAAAACATAGAAAGTCTTGCTTTGTAAATACATGCTACACAAACCCACAATAAAATGCTCCCCTAAAACCTAACACTTACCTCTATTTCTTTTCAATTAATAGAAAAATAAAACACAACATACTGATGGATGGACGTCTGGAAAAAAATAACCCTAAAAATTGGCAGACTTTTAAGAGAGAAGAGCAAGCTAATAAAAACATCTGAGATATAAAGTTTACTTTTTAAATAGATATCACGTTTAGAGAAAGTGAGAGTGGTTTGATGGCGGTGGAGACAACAGGTGAGTGATTGGTACATGGCCCCCTCTGACCTTCAAAGAGCAAGGATGTCGTGTTGTTCTTCACAGATGAATGATCGAACCAGAAACATAGAAGCATTTAAGAGGTAACTTGGATAAAGTTTCACATTTACACGATGAATAGTGGGGTTCCTACCATTCCAAGCACCAGCACATCCATAAGAAGCTAAAAAAAACTTTGTTTGAAATCAAAGCGTATCTAGGTCAAAAATGGTATCTGGAAATGGAGCAATGAAAACCATTATAAAAAGTAATACTTAACGGTGAGAGAAGCACACTCTGTGTTTTTATGCAGATTATGGCTGCTATGTAAATCCACCTGACACCTTTTTCACAAGCCATGGTGGTGACCAAAAACCCAATCGGCAGTTGAAGGTGGTATTCGGATCTAGGGTTTCTTAGAGGGAGAAGTAAGGGGAGCTTGTATTTAAACGATTTGTAGCCGATTAAGGGGGAATTCAAACGAAAAAGGCATGGTCAAGATAAGCCTGATAGAATGTGGGTGATAGCTTGCCCATATCTTAGGAATCAAAAGAATCGGTCACCCCAGATATTAGGACTCAAAAGAGCCGGTCACAGATTAAAGGGGTCATCGAGATATAGGAGCCAATTATGAATTTCAAAAATTCCAAAACCACTATTTTCAGCGGATAAAAAATTTATTATGCATAAATTGTAGTACTTAAAGCATAATAATTTGAACGTCTTCAATCTATTTTTAGAAATAGTAAGGTTTGTATAATATATATATATATATATATATATATATATATATATAT